AGAGAAAGAAGATCCTAGATGGAAACCTGGAGAATAAAGACCATGAAAAGAGCTAATATGTACAAAGATCCAAATGAATACTGATGAATTATGTAACAATAATGTATAAGGTTTTAGATAAATATAGAACTAAATGCATGACAACAACAGCACGTATTTGGCAGGGTGTACATGTTCTCAGGTCTTTGCCTTGACAAGGAAAAGGAAAAACACAAATTAACAAATTTATATTATACTTTGACAAGCTAAGGATATGTATTATAATTGTAAGGTAGTAAATCAGAGTAAAGGATGATAAGCACCAAGCTAACAGAGGTGGGAAACTGGAGTAATAATAAAAAAAACCAAAACAACATCCAAAAGAATGTTGGGGAAAAAAGCATGGAGCAAGGACAAGTAAATGAGACAGATTTAAACCCGAATAGCAATACCAACATTAAATGCAAACAGATAATTGCTCCAATTAATCTGACAACGATCATCAGACCTGATAAAAATATATAATGGCAAGATGAGATACTAGAACCTCAGCTAACTCTCTGGCTGCACAATTCTCTGTTTCAAATTTTCAGTCCTGGAAACTGAGGTTTCCAAAAGAATAAAACTTTTTCTCTCAATGAACTGAAGTAAAGATGGTAGCTGAAGTGGCCAAGAGTGTTAGAGGTCAGTCTCTAGTGGCCAGGAGGCCAAGAAGGCTACCCCTCACTTTCCTACAACAGAGGAGCAGAGTAAACAGCATACTGCTTCCATGAAGATACGTCAGAAAGTCTAAGAGAAATTACTTCTGATTTCTGTGTTCAAATAAATGAGAATTAAGAAACTAACATCTCTTAAAAAATCAATTTGCAAGTAAAAGAGCTAAACAAACATTTGTTTCATCCAGTTATTTCTAAGGAACACAAAACTACAGTTTTAACTGGAAAAATAACCAGCATAATTCCAGTACCTTACTACCCATCCTCAAGTGAGATTCTGAGGAACATGTAAACTATGTAAATTCAATCCTAATAGGAGAGGGAGATAAAAAAGCACACTTCTGACCGCTAAAACAGATAATCTTAGCTATCTACTGCAAGGCAGAAAAAGAAGAAATCTACCCACACAAGAAACCAGCTTAATGACAGTTATTACAATCTACTTCCAAATAAGTAGCTTACCTTTTATCTACAACTTAACAGATAAAGAAAGGCATAGATGCAAAGCTTGGTAAAGTACAACATCATTTAATTTCCTATATTTCAGATCTTTAAATATGTGATCCCAAATGAGTGACTACCACACCTTGTTTTTATATATATATATTTATTTATTTTATTTATTTTTGGCTACACTGGGTCTTCATTGCTGCATGCGGGCTTTCCCTAGTTGCAGCGAGCGGGGGGCTACTCTTGGTTGCAGTGCACGGGCTTCTCATTGCATTGGCTTCTCTTGTTGCGTAGCACGGGCTCTAGGCACACGGGCTTCAGTCGTTGTGGCTCACGGGCTCTAGAGCACAGGCTCAGTAGTTATGGCGCACAGGCTTTGTTGCTCCACGGCATGTGGGATCTTCCCAGACCAGGGTTCGAACCCGTGTCCCCTGCATTGGCAGGCGGATTCTTAACCGCTGTGCCACCAGGGAAGCCCCAAAACCTCTTTTAATTGATTATGTGACAGTGAGAACTCCCTTCATTTTAAGTAATCCTTCAGATTAACTATTCTACATCAAAACACAAGGATTCTATTCCATAAACTCTGTACCTTGGAACTCAGTAATCAAGATTTTACAGAAATAAAAAGGCATGGGGTTGTGGGGGGGGTTGTTTACAGGCATTGGTGGGTGGGGTGGAGGAAGGTTTCTGTTTAAATAGATATGCAAGAGGGAATTCCCTGGTGGTCCAGTGGTTAGGACTCTACGCTTTCACTGCCAAGGGTCCGGGTTCAGTCCCTGGTTAGGGAACTAAGATCCTGCAAGGAACTAAGATCCCACAAGCCGTGCAGTGTGGCCAAAAAAAAAAAAAAAAAAAAGATATGCGAGCTATTGTGGTATACTAACTCAGAAGCTAAGAACCTCAGGTTTTACAAGGATGTCATAAAGTTATCCGATTTCCAAATCAACATCTTGGGCTTCCAAGCTATTCTCAGCCATGAGGCACATTCTATTTTTAAAAGACTAGAGCCATCATCAGATGGCTCTAAATAGTTATACATCACCTCCTTATATTGAATTGAAAATTGTCTCTTTACAGTTTGACTTACTAATTCTATTGTCATGCCTTGTGTTCATCAAAAACTAATCAAACTAATATTTATACACATACAGCCCTTCAAATAGTTGAAGACAAGATATCAGGAACCCCCATGTTCTCCTCTCCAAATCTATAATTTCACCTGCTATCTTAGGACACGGTATGGAATCTTTCTAATCCTTGCTACTATTCTCTAAATAAACCCAGATTTGTCTAAATAAACCCTTCTTAAAGTACTACCTCAAAATTCAAGTACTACCTCAAAATTCAACTCAGTAGATCAGATGTGGCCTGAAAAGCCAGACCACCACTTCCTTACCAAGTTGCTGACAAATCTAACAGGTCCCATTCCCTCCTACCCCTTCCCCTTCCCCATCCTTGTGTCATGTTACATCTCAAGTTTCATTTTCTTACTCTTCATGACCCTCAAGTTGTCACCATGGCCATCCAAGGCCCTAAATACTGTTCATGCTCCTTCTGTGACTCCTTCTTTCTGAGTCATACTTGCTAATCCTCCAAAGTCTATGAATCCCGATACTAGTAACTTGGCAATTGAGTTTAAGATCCTCTTAGTAAGGGTCAGTTAGCTCAAGGCAATCACATTTTTCCCAGGCCTCTCAAGAAATACTTCAACCCTAGCAAAGGCCCTTCTTTCTGGTATCAGGAACCATGGTTCAGAAACAAATCCAACAGAATTTCAGCCATTTACCTCCCAGATCATCCCCTCCCTGAAGTTCTACCTAGAGCAGGAAAATATAATGAAAACGCTATCTGCAGTCACAAGACCTTCAGTTTCCTGGTCAAGATTTCAGATTCCCTTAAAAGATATCTCTGAAAGACGAAGTAAGAGGGGAGGGGCCCACATCAGTCTTCAAAGATATTGATACGGTTCTATTTCTTAAGCTTGGTGTTGGGCCTATGGGAATATGATTGCTTAGATTTCAGGTTAAAAATATTTTGCACGTATTTTTTAAAAAGATACATTCCTAGGGTTTTTTTTCACCATATGCATCAGTAACAATACAGTCACTAGCAATGTCAGTAAATATATACCAGATTCACTCTCTAGGAAGACAACCCAGTTGACAGCCACAATAATTTCTACAATAACAAAGCTGTGGGAAAACAATGACATTTGGGCTATTTGAAGAAAGTTCAATCATAAATGAGGATATAAGCCCAAACAAGAATATACACACACAAAAGCTAAGTAAGCAGCTTTCAGAAAATTACCCTTTTTGCAAGTATAAAAGTATCCTTTCATGTCTTTTGTTTTCTCCCTTCAAAACATCTCATATCCATCTATTCTCACCTATTCCTACCACTACCAACCTTCATTGCTCTTTGCCGATTAAAATCAAAGTCCCCAACTAGTCTCCCAGAAATCTACTCTATCCTATCTACTCTGATGCTGAAGGCATACTAATTCTTTTTTAAAAATAAAATAAAAAGCCTAACAGATCGATCATGCCCCTGCCTAAAAACCTCTGTTGGCTTTTTACTGCATTAAGGTAAGCTCCCAGACTCTTCACCATGATCTCCAAAGCCCTATAGTTTTCCTCACAGATTTCTCCCCAGAAAGACTACAGGCTCTTGAAGAACAGGGATTATTTAGATGCCCCATGTCCTCAAGCCTTCTATAGCACCTAGTGCATTGAAGTCCACCTAACTGAAATGGGGGGGGGGGGGGTTTATCTGCAAGACAACTGTTACACAATTTTTTCTCAATTTCAAAGAACAGGTCAAAAAGAAGCTCCAAATAATTAAAATATAACCCCTTAGAAACACTTCCTAGTTTTTTTAAACAAAGATTTAAAACCACTACATTTTACCTAGATTCCATTGCTTTAACCTTTATTTTTTAAGCATCTTTTAAAAACAAATATAACACATAAATTTAGAAAAGTGCATAAAATATAAAGGTACACCATTACAAACTAGCATGAAATAGTATCCATGCAACTACCATCCTGGTCAAGAAACAGACTACAGTCAATAAACAAGAAGCCCCCAGGTGTCCCTCTCAGCTCACAACTCCCTCCCCGCTTAGCTAGATGTACTTGCTATCCTAAACTGTATGGTAATCACATCTTCGCTTCTCTTGATAGTTTTATTGCCCAAGTATGAATCCATAAATATTTCTCATTTTTGTTCCACTAAGAAGCCTTTTTAGAATAATTTTTTCCTAACTCCTCCCTGTCCTGCTCCCCGACAAAACTTTTAATACCACAGACATACTGTGTATCTATTTATGTATTGTGGCCCTTTGAAGGGCTACAGACTATTGTAATATTTAAGACTTTTTCACTCCAAGGACCAATTTTCACCCCATTCGGGGGAATACTGCCTCCGATGAGAAGGCATGCTTAAATAATATAATTCCGTTTTACCTGTTTTTGAGCTGTACTAATGAAATTGTACAAAACATGTTTTGGGAATATGGTTTCTTTTGTGTTTAAGATTCATCTATCTTGTTGCACATAGCTCTATTCCGTTTTATGAATACCACAGTGCTCCATTCGATTGGAACAGACACTTGGGTTATTTTTATTTGAGGCTATTATAAACAAGGCTGCTTTGAACATTCTTGTGTTTGTCTCCTGGTGCATCTAAGTACTCATTTCTTGCAGGTTATATGTCTAGGAGGAGAATTCCTGGACCACAGGATATGAGTATCTTCTACTTTACCAAGTTATGCCAAATGGTTTTCCAAAGCAATTGTACAAATATACGTTGCCATTAGAAGCATATGGAGTCCCCTTACAATTTTCTTACCTTAAAAGAGAAGTTAAGCAAAATATATTCTATGCCTTCTTTTTCTTTTAAGATCTGAAGATCACTGTGCAAAGGACTATCAGGATCAACCCTAAGAATTACAAAACAAAAAACAGTTCAAACAAAAAGTCAGATTTTTTTTCTCACTAAACTCAAAAATGAACCATTCCAAGAGCTAAAACAGAGCCCCTAGGGTAAATTCCAAACAGAGAAGGTCTAAAGCTGCTCTATGGTTCCTGGAAAAACAAATTAACTATAGCCTCCAACGCCTTGGGATTAAATGTCCAAAAAGAGATCACAGTATTCTACACCTACTCTCCTGAGGGCATGCAAAGTTAGCAGTTATTCTAAAGGAAAGGGTCATATGTACATAATCTTCTCAAGAAAGTCTGCTTCTCTCAAACTGTATTATTAGACAAGGGGTTCAAGGAGAGAAATTTACCATGGACAAGACCAGAAAAAGTGAAATCACTAAAAAAATCTAAATTTGTCTACAACTGTTCTATATATTCAGGCCCTACTCAAATTTCTTATTTCAAATATAAACTGGTTGTCACAGTCAATCTCATCAAGTTATTTATACACTTTTGTTTGTATAGTTCCTAATTGTCTCATTAACTCCATGAAACACTTTTTCCCACAGCTGGCTCTTTTTCTCCTCCTTCTTTCTCACTTTACTTATTAAGCCCAAGAAACAGCTCATTTTAACAACCTAGGAACTATTTCTACAGAAACAGTAAGTAAAAGCCACAGTAAATAGGTATCAAATTAAGGGGGAAAAAATCTCCACTGTGATAGTCTACCATTAAAAAGAGTGGGTTAGCATAAAAAAGCACTTACTTCTGCAGTTTAACATGCCAGTCATATAAACTGTCATTTATGAGTTCCACTGAATAAATCCCTGTAAAGGTATAGGGCATGTTAGTTACTCTTCATTTGATCTGATAACTATTGCTCTGGTGTAAATATATACACTAAATAGCCAACAAAAGCTACAAATTTTGCCATTAAAACATGGAACAACTAAGCTGTATTATAAATATTTTGGTGCTGGAGCTGAGTATCTTATACCGTTAACAGATGGACAACTAAAGCCATCAATGAAGAGGATTTTTGGGGTTGAAAAACTGTTTACCATTAATTGTAAGAGGAAAAAAAGCTTATGCAAAATCATATGTACTTAAGACTTTTCTCCTATGCATATATGCAAACAGTTCTATTAAAATGGAATCCCTCTACATACAGTTTTATAATCTTTCTTCAACTTTTTGGGACATCTTTCCATTAGAATATAAAAATTTATTGCCAATCTTTTTAATAACTGTAGTAATTTATTTTATGGATAAGCCATAACTTAATTCCACCATATAGCTGGTTATTAATTTAATTTTTTGCTACTACAAATAATGCAGTAACAAACAAGTGATGACTGAACATTTTAAGGTAAACCAGTATTCAAATATTTAACTTTATTATGTTTCTACACACAAACTTTTAGATTTCTTATAAGAGGAACTGTTAGGACACCAAAACTTCTAACAACCTCAGAAACAAATTTGACTTATCTTGGACTCTATAAAGTAGGGGGGTTTTTTTGCTTGTTTGTTTTTAAGTAAGCTCTAATGATTTAGACTTGATCACTCTGAAAAATTCTTAATGGATCATAATGCTACCTTTTCAAACAAACTAAAGTTTGGCTCTTTCTCTTATTCAGTACTGTTAGACTCTCTGCAATAATTTGAGGGAATTTTATTTCAATTAGAGAGATTCCATAATATTTAAGCCTTATTGGGTAAGAAAGAACTCTTAAGTCAAACTATAAATTGTTAATACCATTAACTACAATAAGAGTTGATTGTTGTTTTCAAAAAAACGAAAAAAGAACATAAAAATCAACTTGACAACAGTTCTCTGTTCATACAATAGAACATATACTCATTTATTTTCCAAAGCATATATTACTTGTACCTTTCCCAGAAGATAAAAATCATGAGTTAATCCCCATCAGCAAGAAGATAAAAAATTATGTGTCCATAAAAACATTTTTAAAAATCCAAACAAGTGAAATCATCCTATTTTACCCCCGTCTTTTGGTAACTTGATTAAATTTGTGTTTCACATTCCTAAAATAAAGTTAATAAACATTTCTGTTTCTGTCCAGTTATACTATAAGAAATGAAGTTACTATCTGAAAATTTAAAAGGGCATAAGGACAACAGCAGAGATCCAGAGGTCCTTACCTGTTTTATAACTCTGTGATCTGTATATGTCCCTGAGCTCTTTCATAAGTCTATCTGAAGCTTGTACAGACCCAGACACTGCACCCTGAAACATAAAATTTGCTGTTTACCAGGATCTACTGATTTCAATAACTAAAGATTTAAGGTATCTGAACCTGAAACAGGCGTTTACAATGATATCGTAAAAATGGATCACCACTCAACATTTTAAGAAGTCAAAAAAGTTAAGTTCAATTAAATCAATGATCATGAAGTTTCAGTAGGAATATAAATTTGGGGCAGGTCTGATTCATTTACTATTTGTCATCTGAAAAAAATAAATAAACACCTAACCTATGTTCAGATCACCATGGCCACTCCAATAGCCTAGAACTAGTAAGGGTCTATTTCAAATTCCTTCAATTAAAAAAAAATTTATTAATTTTTTTCTTTTTTACGATTTTATTTGGGGTGGGCAGTTTTAGGTTCACAGCAAAATTGAGAGGAAGGTACAGAGATTCCCCATATAGCTGCCCCTCACAGTGCATAGTCTCCCTCATTATCAGCATCCTTCGGAGGTACATTTCTTACAACTGATCAACCTATTTGGACACATCATTACACCTGAAGTCCATAATTTACCTTAAGGTACCTTTACCTTTTCGTGCTGTACATTCTATGGATTTGGATAATGACAAGTATCCGCCCATTATAGTAACATAAAAAGTATTTTCATTGCCCTAAAAGTCCTCCATGCTCCGCGTATTCATCCCACCCCCCACCCCGAAACCCAGGGCAACCACGGATCTTTTTACTGTCTCCATAGTTTTGCCTTTTTCAGAATGTCATATAGTTGAAAACACAGTCTGCAGCCTTTTCAGATTGGCTTCTTTCACCTAGTAATATGGATTTTAGGTTCCTCCATGTCTATGTCCTGTCCTTGACAGCTCATTATTTTTTTTTTTTTTTTAAGCAGGGACTAATATTCCACTGCCTGGATGTACTATAGTTTATTTATCCATTTTCCTACTACTTCCAAGTTTTGGCAATTATGAACAAAGCTGCTATAAACATCTACGTGCAGGTTTTTGTGTGGACATAACTTTTCAATTCATTTGGGCAAATACCAAGGAGCTCAACTGCTGGATTGTATGGTAAGAGTATGTTTAATTTTGAAAGAATCTGTCAGACAGTCTTCTAAAGTGGCTGTGCCATTTTGCGTTCCCATCAGCAATTAGAAAAGTTTCCTGTCGCTCCACATCCTCACCAGCATTTGGTGTTTTCAGTGTTCCAGATTTTGGGCATTCTAATAGATGTGTAGTAGCTCCATGCATTTTTGAAAATACTAGAAGACCCTCAATGTGATACATTAACTAAAGCAGGTCCCTTAATCAGACTATAAGAATCTTATACTAACAATCTAGTTTACATATTAAGAAATTGAGAAACAACATGTCCACATATATGCAACTGGTTTCAGTTCTTTTCAGTGTTCCACCTTCTCTGAAGATGAAAATGCACCAGTATCTTATCCTAAGACTGAATATGAATGGAACTATTTATCATAAGACAAAAACATTTAGAATGTCTTCTGAATTAAAAAAACCTGACCTTGTAAAATTTTAAATGTTGCACCTTCAAAAGTTGCACTACACTTTGAGGTGGGGTAGAAAATCAGGTTTACAAAAGATATTACTTCCTGGCTGTGTGACTTTGGCTACGTTACTTGATAGGTTAAAACCCCAGTTTCACATCTATAGAATAGGAAGAATATTTCCTACAGCGGTTATGAAATCAAATGGGAAGGCATATAAACGTTAAAAGACTTTGCTTAGTTTGTCATGTGATAGTGTTCAATAATTTGTAGTTGTTTTGACTATAACACACAAACTGGAAGCAATCACAAGATACAGAAAGTATCGTAAATATCTTTAGCTTAGATACAAGCTTTTTTTTTTTTAAATAATCAAGATAAGGAGTTGGCTAAATTTCTTTGCTCTCTAAAGATTTGCCAATTACATTAATACAGTAAATAGGACTGAAGAAGTGAGAGTAATCTACCTGTTTACAACACTTGTCACCTCCTTGCATAACAATTCATTCCCTGTGTTTGAGAACCTATGCTCAGGACAAAAGAACTGGTTCTCAGGTTTCATGGGTTTGATAAATAGCTCTAAAACAAAGGCAGTAAGTAAATAATAAGTGTTGAGATGGATAGCTGGACTTTCATTTGATATTTCCCTACTCTGGGCATTTTATATACGTCGTTCTCATTTATTATTTACAGGAATCATCTAAATGGTACATAATGTCCACATTATAGAATTGAGGAAAATGAAGCCGCACAGCTGTGTTTGTCACCATGCTGCTTCACATAAAAGATGTTAAGTCAAAAGAAAAAATTACTTTTGGTTCAGTCAGGGCAGGATAAACCAGATGGCAGCTTCATGAAGAAGGAAGAATTTGAATTATACTTTGTACGAGACTGAATTTAAATTTGCACATCCCACAGGAGAAGGGTAAGGAGAGAAAACAGGGTAAACAAGTTGGAAAGTGAATGATTTCAGATGAACGGGGTAGAAAGTGGCTATCAATATATGAGAAATGTTGTGGGGGGGGTGGGAAACTAGGGCAACAAAACATATGGCTGAATCTACAACCAAGGCAGGGATGGAGGGGGGTGGCTTTGATTGGTATCTTATTGAATTGCCCTGTATTTATATTATTCCTATACAGCTGACTCTTGAACAACACAGGTTTGAACTGCGTGGATCCACTTATATGCAGATTTTCTCAATACGTACTACACAACCTGCAGTTAGTTGAATCCTCGGATGTGGAACCGTGGATATGGAAGGCTGGCTGTAAAGCTATACGTGGATTTCGGTGCAGGGTCAGCACCCCTAACCCCAGCATTGTTCAAGGGTCAACCATAATTACTTAACCACAAAAGTCCAGGTTCTATACATTTACACATACTTACATTTAGATGGTCTTGCCTTTGAGTCTTCCTAATTTTCTCTAATATTGCCAAATTTTCTTTTTCAATTCCTTCATCCTCTGACTTTTTCCCACTAATAGGCTCTTCTTCCTTCATTTCATAATGATCTAAGTCTTCTATATCCTATAAAAAATTTAAAAATTTAGCTTATTCAAGCTCATGTCAAAAGCTAAATTATTCCTGACTCAGAGAACAAAGAGGAGAGAATACATGTATCCTAAAAAAGCCTTCACATTCCATTCAAAAGGTTCTCTCCTTTTATATACTATACTTTAAAGCTAGAATCGGAGTAAAGCATATTTAATAGTTTTACAAAGCCATAACTACTACCAAATGAGCCATCTTAAATTGCTTTAAATCTCCTATTAAGGGGAACTTTTGCAACAGTTTAGCATGAGGTACCAAGAACCATAACTCGACTTCTAGAAATCTATTAGATTCAGTTTAGAAATTAGTCTAAAATGTGAACACAGATTTAGGCATAAAGATGCCTATTTCAACTTTATAACCACAAAAACAAAATCTTCATGTGCAAAATATCAGAACAGTTAACTTAATTCAATGGAATACCGGAAGACCATTAAAATGCCAACACAGCATAATGGTTTCTTCTGTATCAATAATGAAATGAAAAACACAGAATACAAAAATGAATATATAGAATCTTAGTTATGCCAAAATAAGCACAGAAAAAAAGAATAGAAGGACACATACTGAAATACTAATAATTATCAATAGAGACATTTAGTGCTTTTCCTTTTCCAAGTTTTCTGTAGTGAGCACCTATTGATTTTTATAATTAGGAAAAAAGTTAGAAAAAGAATTTGAATATCGCTAAGCCAACATCTTTAATCACTACATCATTCTTCTCCCTCCCTTCCCTTAGCATCAGCTCTTACAAATTTAAAAATTCTGCATAGATTTGTATAATAAATCCTAACCTTTTTTATTACCTTTCTTCTAACTTCACCTCAATCATCAAAATCTCTAAAGAAGTAGTTTATACTTTATCTCCACTTTATCAAGCAGACTAATTCACTGTGATTTCTAGACCAGGTTAATAATTTAGATCACTTTCGTCCAGACTCAATGGTCTTTTTCTTGGACTGCCATCTCTTCAACTCCTATTACATTCCTTTCTTATTCATACTGTGTCTATGACTGCATGCTTCATAGAGCTCCCTTCCCCTGGTTTGCACCTTTCAGCTACAATTTTCCGTCCTACACTTGTTTTCTTCAGAGTTCTCACAAATACCCTTGGCCTGTACCTCCTCCTCCTCCTCCAACTTCAACCTCAGTCATGTTCTAATCCACAAAATTTCTCCACTTGAGTATTAATCAACACAGAACAGAATTCATCATTATCATCTTTACAAAACAATATTCACTGTACACTACTCTCTGCTTAAGGCCTTACCAACAATCATACCAAATATAAACATATTCGTCTCTAATTCAAGACTTAGCCATCTGCCTTTTCTAGCCAAACTTGCTTTCCAAGACTCCAATACAGCAATGTCCTTCTCCCAAAAGGACAGCCTCCAATGCACCCAAACACAGCATGCCCAGGCTTGTTCTGGGCCTTTTTACCACATTATTCTAGTTGCCTAGGATATCTTTTCACCTATCCTAATTTGACATCTCCAAAGTCCATCCTACCTTTCTAGATTTCCCTAAATGCTGCTGTCCTTTCTTCATATTATCTTGTGAGGGGAAAAAAGAAAGGTACATAAACTCTTTGAGTACAATGTCTACTTTATTGTACATTGGACCCATGGTAAAGTTTAATTTTTTTTTTTTTTTTTTTTTTTTTTACTTATTTTTAATTTATTTTTGGCTGTGTTGGGTCTTTGTTGCTGTGCACGGGCTTTCTCTAGTTGCGGCAAGTGGGGCTACTCTACATTGAGGTGCACAGGCTTCTCGTTGTGGCTTCTCTTGTTGCGAAGCACGGGCTCTAGGTGTGCGGGCTTCAGTAGTTGTGGCACGTGGGCTCAGCAGTTGTGGCTCACGAGCTGTAGAGCGCAGGTTCAGTATGTGTGGCGCACGGGCTTAGTTGCCCTGCGGCATGTGAGACCTTCCCAGACCAGGGCTCGAACCCACGTCCCCCTGCAATGGAGGGCAGACTCCTAACCACTGTACCACCAGGGAAGTCCCAGTTTCATGTTTTCTTGCAGTTTATTCCTAAGTTAAACTGCATGAAAACATTAAAAAAAAAATCTATCCCCCCAAAAATCATTCTGACTGGACAATGTTAAGAACTATTTTACTTCCAGACTCACAAAACAAACCAACAACTACTTTAGTTCTAAGGCATTCTAAGAAGTGTATTTTAGATTTAAGGTAATAACCTAAATTAATTCTAAGATCCAAACAGAAAAATGTTTTAAAACCAAGACTGTAGAACTCAAATCCCTTGTATCAGGTCAATGTAGAGACACAGATTCTTCATTATGAAGTTTGAATTTAAATGCAAAGACTCAGAGCCTGAAAACGTCTAAAATTTTATCAATGGCTGGCAACTAAACTGACTTAAGCTCAGTGTCTTTGGGATTTCCTCTTTGATATTCTTAGATGATTTTTCAACATGAGATAGTTTTCATTACTTCTAGTGAAGTCGCTGAAATGTGGTTAAATTCTCCTTTTATTCAAACACAAAAATTCTGAAACTTCGTAGTTCCTATTCTTAAACCAAATCAGGTTAAGTACTGATTACTATTAAATGTAAATATAATTTTAGTGCTAAATGTTAAGAGCTCTTATTTTCCATGAAATAAAATCCAAGGACATCAGATAAGAAATTTGCTAAAAAGTATACCATGAATTAGAGGTAAAGCCAGATTTTAGAAATTGTATTAAATTACAAATTCAATGTGCTTCTCATTATTCCACATTAACAATGGTTTATAAAGGAGATTAGAAAATTAATAAAATGTTCAAAAGTGAAGATAGTTATGAAATGTTATTCTTATATAAAATACCTACTTCAGCCATCTCTTCCTCTTCCTCCTCTTCTGAAGTCACTTCTTCTGCTGTCCCATTCTGCAAAGAGAAAAGAGTTTGCCAGGACTACACAGAATAAGTAAGCAAACACTGAGTACTTCAGAAGATTTTAGGGACAAAGTATCAATCATCTGTCACTGCAGTTCCACTAAGAGCTTATTAAAGTTGAAACATTTACTCTTAAATTCAGCTTTGATTTGACAAATAATATTTATCAGCTTTTTAAGAAGAAGTAATTTTGAAAAATTCAACTTAATAGATGCCTTAGAAATTAAGAAAGGCAATTAGTCAAATATAAAGCAAAACAGAAAAAAAATTTAAGCATATTCTAATTTAAAGTCAGAAAACATTTTACACATATAGCTACATGTATAAGGCTAATGGCTTCTTTTGCTTAAAATACCCCAGACGATGGGTTTCTTAAAATATCTACCTTTTTAGCTTTGAAAAGCCTGAATCTTTCCATAAATTCTACTGGCTTACATTTTAAAAGGTCAAATGTGTTACACACGCATAGACACTGTACAAAACTAAAAGTTATAAAGTGATCACCATTTCACTAAGGAGCTATTTTTCTTTTATTTTTTTAAACAACATGTCATTTAGCACAATATTTCTGTATAAGACACAACTTAACACTCATTCACAATGAATCTGACGAGGTTTCAAGAAGGGCCTTCATACCTAGTTTTGTCAGAGTTCATAAAGACAAGCTTCCTGGACCACAGCACAGTTCTCTACGACACAATATATAAAAATTTAGTAGGATTTTTTTCCCCTAGAAATTCTTGCTGTATTTGTTCCAACTACAGCTGGTAAGGATCACACTCATATAGGACGCCAACCTTGCTGGCCTCTTAGTGTGTCAGAACCAGAGAGAAAAGACAATTTTTTAATGTAACTCAATGCAGCAGCAAAATTTCTTAACAGATTTATCTCTCCCTTTTACTCAGGAGTTGTAAAAGTCCACCTGCCAGCACCTCCCCATTCACGTGCCACAGGCAGAGCACAGGTGTGCAAAACCAGAAAGGGGAGGCCATAGCACAGAAGACTGACAATTGCTGAGGACACTCATAACAACTGATACTGATCAACGGTATACCTCATCTATAAATGAGTAGATAACCAAGCATCACCAGATATTTGAAGAAAACTAGCAATCTGAAAGGCACCAAGTTGAACAAGCAGAAAAAGTGACCTGAAGCATTATTAATGAAGGCAATAAAACAGAATTTAAAAATCTAATAATTGGAATCTTTAGCAGTAATTGAGAAGATACTGCATCCACAAAACCTAACAAGATTATTATGTAAAGAACAAGAAAGTTCTGGAAAATCAAAAAGATCTCCCCTCAAAGAAAAAAAAAAACTCAGAGGGGCCAGAGAGAACAATGGACCTAAATGAACAAAATATTTATGACTGAAGAAGACAACCAAACTGTGACATTCCCCTAAAATGTGGAGAAAAAGGAGGTGGGGGACGGGGAGAAGGTGATTAAAATAAGAGAAGAGTTAGGGAAATGGAAATCGGAATACAGAGATCAAATATTCATCCAGCATTCATTCAGAAGATGAGGGAAAGGGACAAATGTTGCCAACCTAAAGAAGGACTTCATAATAGCAAGTGGCTCTGAATGCCCCAAAGGAATGTTGGAAATTAAAACCCCATACTTCACAGTTAAAGAAAAAAACCATGCCGACTTCCAGAAAGAAAAAATATAAACAGCTAAGAATCAGACAGGCATCAGCCTTTTCATCTCTAACAACAAATACCAGAAGAAAAAAGTGTAAAGAACTTGGAAGAGACTCCTTATGAACTTAGAATTTGATATCTAGTTCCATCAGGATGGGAGCCATACCTGTGTTTGTTCAGCACTGGATCCTCAACATTTACATAGAGTACATAGAGTGCTTTACACAGAGTCAAATAAATACTTGTTAAATGAATAATAAAAACAGACACAGTATTCAAGGAACACTCTTCATACACATCCCCACAAATCCTTTCTAGAAAAAAAGACATTATTCAGGGATATAGTTCAGAAAGGGGCAACCATGGAATACAAGAAACAGCAATAAGCGGAGACAACAGCAACATCAATGGTTAAGTCTAAGCAATTGCTGCTAATGCAGCTGAAAGGTTACAGGCCATATTCTCTGGCCACAGTGAAAAACGAAAAACCCCAAAGCTGTCTGAGAATCTCTAAAAACATTTTTTTCTAAATAATTCTTGAATTTAAGAAGAAATGGACCCTCATGCCCCAGTAATCCACTCTTAAATACATGCCCAGAGACATACTTGCACGGGTGTACCATGTACTACAGACAAGAATGATCATGGTAGCACTGTTCCTAATAGCAAACTGGAATTAACCCAAATGTCAGTAAACAGTCAAATGGATAAGTATGTTATGGTACATTCAAACAATGGAATAAATACAGCAATGTAAAAGAACTACAGCTACACACAATATAAATGAATATACTCACAATGGTAAGCAAAGACAAACATGAAAGACTACATAGTATAACTTAATATGAAGCTCAAAAAACAGGCAACACTAAACCATATTGTTCAGGGTTGCATATATGAGTGATAAGACTAGAGAAAAGTAAGGAGAGGATTAGCATACAAGGGAATGATAATCTGAAAGGAGCCTGCAGAAGATTCTGCAGTGCTAGCAATGTTCTATTTCTTTACCTGGGTGGTGGCTAGGTGGTATAGTTGTCAGGTATTCACCATAACTTTTATACTAAACTTATGTCTATATGCTTTCAATACATATTATTTCGAACTTTTTCTTGTAAAATATAAGAGTGATACGAACAAGAGATGGAATCAAACTACTTAGAAAACACAAACTATTTAGAAAATAAGTATACTAAATTTTAAAACCTGTGCAATAAAGTCAAACAGCACTCGGGAAAAAACAAACACCCTTACATGTTTGATAAAAAAGCACTTTAAATCATATTGATCCAGTAAACTAAAAATGTAAAAGGAGACATTATTAAGACTGGACTGAAAAATAAAAACATTCAATTTAACAAATAAAACTAAGGGCCAGTTCTTTCAATAGACCATTATAATAAAACAGACAAGCCTCTGACAAGTAATCAAGGAAACTTCAGGATTATAACCACAGATGAAGATGATGCAAAAAGTGAATACTCTGCACATCTTTCCAACAGCTTCAAATGTATAGATGAAGTTACCAATTTTTTAGAACCTAAAATTACTAAAACTGACAGAAGAAATGGAAAATCTAAATAGACTAATACACAGAAGAGAAAAATGGATCAGGTTCAGATCTTTGTTTAAATCAGGCTTTCTCAACCTTGGAACTATTGATATTTGGGGCCAAATAATTCTTTGTTGTGGGGAACTGTCCTGACATTGCAGGATATTTAGTAACATCCTGTCTACCCACAAAAAGCCAACAGCACACTCCTCCAACCAGGCCAGCTGTGACAATCCAAAATATAGCCAGATACTTCCAAATGTCCCATGGGAGGCAAAACTGCCCCCAGTTGAAAATTACAACTGTTCTAGATCTTAGGAAAAAAACACAAGGCTTGGGGCTTCCCTGGTGGCACAGTGGTTGAGAGTCCACCTGCCGATGCAGGGGACACGGGTTCGTGCCCCGGTCTGGGAGGATCCCACATGCCGCGGAGGGGCTGGGCCCGTGAGCCATGGCCACTGGGCCTGTGCGTCCAGAGCCTGTGCGTCAGGAGCCTGTGCTCCGCAACGGGAGAGGCCACAACAGTGAGAGGCCCGCGTTCCGCAAAAAAAACAAAAACAAACAAAAAAAAAACCACAAAGCTTCCCAAGTCATGAGACTGCTTATACCCTGATACCAAAATGAAACAAGAAGAGCTTAACGGGAAACAGACTATATTACAATCTCACTTAAAGTAGAAAAATCCAAAAATAAAGTATCACATCTATTGTGTTCCACCCCCAACTACCAACCTATGTAGGCGCCGAACGTTTACTATGGGACTGCAAGGATGACTCAAAATTGGGAAATTTCTTCATGTAATTCACAAGTTATATCTTGTGAATGGAATTAAATGCAGTCGTGAAAAACAAGGTAGATCTATATGTACTGTGTCCACGATATATTAAGTTAAAAACCTAAGTTGCAAATATTCTAAAGAAGCAGATTGAACATAAAATATATTCTTCTCCCATCTCTTTCCTGAGGCTCCACTAGAATTACAATGAAGACATACGATGAAGAATAAACACTGTACAAACACATAATGGTAACAAAAAATAAAAGGGGGCTACCAGCAGAAAAAAGAATTCACTCATGCTAGAAGATGACAGTGAATGGAAGAATGGTAATTAATGGAGCAAACAAGTAAAGCCATAGGATAGGCGATAATCAGGTGGCTAATTTGTCCCACAGCACCCTGGAGAGGCTCTAGACTCAGACACCAGGTACATTCGACAGCAGGAGTGATGGATAGGATTGAAAATGTAGATTAACTGAAAGCCTATATACAGAACAAACTGTCCAGCCACCAAAACACACTGCTCTCCTTAAGCAAAACTCAGGCATACATATCTACCTCAAGCAAGAGATTATAAGGTTTCATGTCCAGAGAAACCAAATAGTTCCAGCCATCATTTACGATTATGCCAGGAAATAGGGGGTGGGGGATAGGGGGTTGAAGTCAGCTTAAATTCCTCCTAAAAGCGATCAGTTGACAAGTCTTGGCAACAAAGAACTCCCAATCAGCCTTTCAGTACACCTCTCTCAAATATGAATGAAGAAAAAGAAGGAAAAAACATGAATAAGCAAAAGAGAATAAATAGATATATGAGGAAAGTCTTCAGAAAGAAAAAAAAGACCAAGATAAACTAAAAAAAAAATTATTAAAGACTTATTAAACTTATTAAAGAAAAATAGAGATGCTTGAGGGAGAGTATCAAAGTAACTCCTTAAAGACACTCACGAATATATTACATTGATAAAAACAAAAACAGAATGCTATCAATAAGGAATCATCAGAGAACAAGAACTTATGGTT